AGTACAACTCATTGGGACTCTTCTGAATCCCCTGACTCCTTGTTAAACTAAACTAAAACACATTATATTAGAAAAAACTTAACTAAACTAAGTTATGTTAAACAAAACCAAACCAAACTAACATACATACAAAATATTAGGGTTTGTAATGTGACTAACCTTTAGATTTGCACTGCTTTTTGACAATTAAACCATCTAATTGTACAAATCCTACAAAATATTTAAAAAATTAAATTAAATAAATAAGGGTTTATTATTAAACAAAAAAAATTAAAAAAAAGTGGGGGAAACTGACCTTGGCGCGGCGCCGGCAACAACAACCAGCCCAGCGAGGGAAGGGAGGAGGCCGGAGGCCGGAGGCTGCGGTTGTGGTGGTCAGGGCAAAGAAAGTCAGATTTGAATGTAAAAAAAAAAAAACAAAACAAAAACAAAAAAAAAGTGTAAACTGACCTAGGAACGCGGGGCCGGAGGCTCGACGGAAAACAAGCCGCCCCTTCAACCGCCCTCTTTCTCCTTCTCGTCCTCTTTTTCTTTCTCCTTCTCGTCCTCTTTTTCTTTCTCCTACTCGTCCTCTTTCTCTCTTACAATGTCGGCTCCGTTTGGTCATCGACGACGGTAGATGCGTGACGGAGGGCGGAGGTTGCGGCGGTGTGGTACCCTATTTCTCTTTCCCTCTCTCTTTCTCTCCTTCTCTTTCTTCTGTGCAACGACTCCAAAAATTCCCCCCCCCCTTTGTTTTTAGGTTAAAATTGAAATTGCCAAATTTTTAAAAAAATCCGATTATTTCCGACGGAACTAATTTCCGTTGTAATTCCATCTTCCGACGGAATTTTCCGTCGCAAAATTATTTTTGACAAAATATTCCGTCGGAAAAAGGAATTCACGACGGAAATTAGTTCCGTCGGAAATATTACGACGGAAAATTCGTCGAAACATAAGAAATCCGTCGATAAATTCCGACGAAATATATTCCGCCGGAATTTTTGAAGTTTGCGACGAAAAAAAGGTCCGTCGGAACCTATCCGTCGGTATTTAGCCTATTTCTAGTAGTGAATAATAAAAAGAAATGGGGCAAGATACAAAAACTACTAAACAAAACGCTAAGTGCGACCAAATTCATGTAAATAAACTGAATTAAGATCAACTTACCAATGATGGAGTGAGAATTTTTAGCCGATCGACAAAATTGTAGCCGAAAGTGTCATTTGACTTGTGAGATTTTGCAGTTACGCTAATATGAACCGGGAGAATTTTGAAGTGGAAATTTGAAGAATTTAGTAAATTGAATTGTACGATGTATAATATACGGAGTACTATGTACGACTACATATTTCTAAATTATAATCTAATCAATTTGAATTTTTTTTTTATTTTTTTTAATGAGTAACTAATTAGGATAAAACCCTAGATTGAAAAATTAAGTTTGGATGATGAGAAAAAGAAAGTAACGGGAAAAATTATTCATGGCACATATGTAAAGTTTGCCACGGGAGAAGAGTTACTCATGGCACAAATGTAAAGTTTGCCATGGGAAAAACACTATTCGTGGCACAAATATAAAGTTTGCCACATTTTCCCGTGGTATAAATTTTATAATTTCTTCTTAAATTCGTTTTTTTCTCGTGGCATAATTCGTGGCACAAGTGATTATTTGTTGTAGTGACGGCTAGTTACAAAAATATTTGGAATATACTTTTTTTTTTGGGATATGGCTGATGATTATTTATAAATGGACGACTTTTATTAGTTTATTTTGTGAAAAGTTAATGAGGGACTAACTTTTTGGGTCAAATAGTCAATTAAGGGACTCACTTTTCCTTCGGTGTGACCAGAAAGTTAACTAGAGATCCTAAAAAGTGAAGAAAAAAAAAGTGGGAGGTCTCAAAAGGTGAAAAAAATGAAAAGGTTAGACCCTAATTTTATACTTAACTCAAATATTGTTTGGCATTTGAACTTCAAATATAAAACCAACCCAAGTAATATAAAATGAAAAATGACTCAAACCTAAAAATGAAACAACACCTTTAGGGCTTGTTCTGATTGACTGAACTCAGCTGAATTGGACTGAACTGAACTGTACTGAACTGAGCTGAACTGTACAAATGTACATATTAAAATATTTACGAAAAATATACTATATAATTATAAAATTTATGGAAAATATATTAAAAACTTGAAACCTCTAAACTTTTTAAACACATATACTATTTAATTTAAAAATAAATAGTATTATGACAAAAGAACACAAACACTTACATGTATCTAACCAATTTAAACAAATTTAAAAAAAAAATATTTAAAAAAAAAAAAACAAGAAAAGCTAACAGAGGCAACGGCCCAATAGTCTAACACCCTAACCCACTCTCTTTAATGTTATTATTATTATTATTACTAGTTTTGTACCCGTGCGATGCCCGGGTTGTTTATTGAATTTTAAGATAAATTTTTAATCTATATGTCAAATTTAAAACATATCATTGATATAAAATTAGTTAGGAATTGATGTATTTTTGTGATGATTTAAACTATATAGTAGGCATGCAATGACTAATAATAACATTGGTGAAAAACATTTCTTAACCCGTAACCTAAAATAATGACCATGTCCGAAATGACTCTAGTTAATTGATTAGAATATATTATAAATAATGGATGTGGTGCATTATGAGCTAATTCTTTCGCTGCAAAAAAAATACTATGATACAAAAAAATAAATTTATATGATATTTATGAGTGTAATAATTTTTTTTTTATAAAATTATAATTTTAATTTGTACATATGAAATATTGGTACTTTATCGAAAATAAAACTCTAAATTAACAATTTTATCCTAAAATTATATCCAAATTTGATTGAAAATAGAATTCTAAATTAATTTTTTTATCATACAATTGAATTCTATATAAGTTGGCGCAACACTTGGCGAAAAGTTGGAACGCCAAGTGTCGTTATCTCTTCGTCTGGCTAAAAGTTTAGCTTTATATATTAGTTATATGATTATTTATTGATTATTATTATTATTATTATTATTATTTATTACTTATTGATTATTATTATTACTATTATTACTACTACTACTACTATTATTATTATTATTATTATTATTATTATTATTACTAGATGAAAGCCCGTGCGATGCACGGTTTTTTCATATATAAATCTCAAGAAAATATATTTTTGTATAGATTCTATGTTTTTTTTTAATTATTTGATTTATTTTACTATCTAATAATTTCAGACAAAAAAACACATAATATTTTAATTAAAGTGTTATTGCCTATTACAAAAGTTTTTTTTTTTAAAATGTAATTTTTAACGCGACTTTATTTATTGTTGTTTTGTACTTTATTGTGGTTGTTAATTATATAACAATTGGATTTAAAAATATGATTAAATTGTAAATATGATATCTTTCAAAAAAAATAATTGTAAATGTAATTTTATCGGTTACATATTAGGATAAAATCTTTAATGTGAAAAGATATTTTTTATTTTAAAATAATTTAAAATAAATCATTATTTGTTGTTTTTTAAAAGATAAAAATATTATAAAAAAATAATCAAAAACACGTATACTATTTATCTTCTATTTTGATAGAATCACCAACTTCGTTCACACCCATATCTCTTCCATCTAATCAAAATGGATAAATAAAACATGTTAGCAAAAATAAATTTATATAAAATTAATTCTTTTTGTTAATTCTAATTAATATATAAATAAATCAATATATATATTTACCAGGAAGTGAAAAATTATTGTGAAATTGATCTAAAAATTTTAATTGTAAAAAATAAAATCTATGCATTGGAATTTTTTCATCGTCCTCAATCGCCCGAACAGTAGTATTTTTAAAAAATTAAATCATTATTTTGTTGTCACTGGCAATGCTTGCGATATTTCTTCTTAATTGTAACGATTGAAAAATATCTAATGAAATTGTACAAGGTTGGCTTTAATTGCGGCATGAACGTAATCACCCTGTAATTAAAAATAAAAATTAAGTTAATTTGATGACTTGATTATGCTACCTAAATCACAAAAATTTGTTTTAATCATATAATTAATTAATAAAAACTAAAAAGGTTTATAAAAAATTTAATAAATGTAAACGATATATATAAAGATGTAATACCTCTTTTTACTTTGATTTTCCAATCATTTTTGCTCGAATTTAATTATCTGATTATATTAGATCTACATATAAAAACAAAATTCAGTAAATAAAAAATAAACATATAATCATTAAGTATTCTAAATAAACATAATGTAAGCAATAATCACAAATTTACATTTAAACATGGATTTTAAAAATTAAACTAAGAATTACGCAACCATTGATGACATGAAACTGACACAACTGACACAAAATTCGCTTGATTTGGTTTTGTATTGATATGAAATTTTATTGGTGTTGTAGGATGCGTCAATTTATATAGTGGTAGGCATCACAATTTTAATTTAATTATAATTAAGGAATAATTTTTATTTCTTATTATAAACACTCTAAAGATTATCTTAGATATATAAATCCATATCTTAAGATGATTTTTTTAAAAAGATAATTTTTAGTTTTTAAAATAAATTAAATCTTAATAAATCATTATTCGTTGTTTTTTACGTACGTGGAAAATTTCTTAAATCTCATTCGTCGCTTTTATGTAGGTGGCAAGTGAATTTTCTAATTCTAAAATAAAATAGAAATCTAATTTTTAATTGGTCAAAAATATATCTTTGCTTATGTGGCGCGCCGAATACTTTATTTATATATATATATTAGATTATTATTATTGTCGTCGTTGTAATAATAGCTTAAAAGAATGAAATTTGGCTTTATATCATTAGCAATATTATTAGACATAAATTAAGACCTGAACTGAACTAAGCTGAACTGAACTGAATTTCAACGAAAGAGAACAAACCTTAGTAGGGTGACCCATTCGTCCATTGTTGCTAACAAGTAACAATGAATGCTAAGGAGGCTAGAGGACCCATTATCACAAATTCACATTATTCTTCTTGAAAAAAAATTTAATCTTTAAAAAGGAAAAATTGAAAGAATCACATTTATGTTATAGTTTAGCTTACTTTATACACCAAACTTAGTAAAGTTAGAGAGAGAAACAAGTTGATCTGATCATCAGAAACCATGAACATGGCGTGTGTGAGCGTAGGAATTGGGATTCCAAAACCATCATTTATCCACCCAAAACCATGGAAATCTGTAGCAATTTCCCCAATTACAAGAAGAGCAGATCTCAGAATTGCAAAATCATCAACATCATCATCATCAGGAGGAGTCGAAGAAGAAGAAGAAGAGAAAAAACTGATAAAATTCGAAGGGACTCGGAGGAGAGAGAAAGAGCTAACAGAGATGATCCAGAAGAAGATTCGAGAAGCTGAAGAGGTTTGTAGCCAAGACAAAACATCCGACGGCTGTAAAGTGGCGTGGGATGAAGTTGAAGAAATCAGCGCCGCTAAATCTCATCTTCGTCTTCAATTGATGCATTCCGGTGATCCTCTTCAGAGTTTTTGTCAGGAACATCCTGAAACTGAAGAATGCCGCACTTACCAGGATTAGTTTGTACGGACTGTTCATTAATTGGAATTACGGTTTAAGTTTGATATCCGTTATGTGTCTCTCTCTACTGTAAAATGTAACGCTGTTTTTATTAATTGTAATCAACAACATCTCTTTTTCTGTTAATTGCGGAGTTCTGTATTATTTCTTATATTCTTCGTATGGAGTATCTACCTCATCACTCATGAGATTTTAACCTAAACTTGATTACTACTGACTCAACCCGACGTCCCGAATTTAGTGGCGGATCCAGGATTCCGCACTAGGAGTAGCACTAAACGCGTACTAGATAAATTAAAGGACGAAATTCTTTCAAAAAAAAATAAATAAAAAAAAGACGAAATAACAATAAACACCTACGAACTTGAAACTCAAACTAAATTTAAGATGGTAATAACACATCAAGTTAAATAAAATGTTACCATCTATGAGTTATTATTGTGGATAAAATTATGCATGTACAACATACTAGCTATCAAAATATATTTTGTATTACAATGAAATAAAATTAGTCAATTTATCATATATTACTAATTTTCTTCATATATTACTAAAAGGAAGCTTTATTTTCCTGCTTTGCACCGCTGACGCAAATACAACTTTCATGAAATATGCATTGTTTAATACTTATCAACTTTCTAGAAGGAAGTTTTTTTTATACTACCTTTGTTAACGGTTATTTGCAACATATATTATAAATGGATGCTAACTATTATGTGTAACAAATGTTTTTTTTTTTTTTCCTTTTTAGGTAATCATTTCTCTCTATTTCTCTTCTCATCACATGCACCCAACTTTTTCTCTCTCCATTTTACTCTTACAAACAAATTTTGCCTAGGAGTCCGCAAATACCCCCTTTGTTGCAAATAATAGTTAACGGAGGAAGTACAATTTTTTTTTCTTTTTCTCGGGGTAGCACGTGCCCCCCGGCCCCGGTTCCAATGTAGATCCGCCAGTGCCTGATTTAGTGGGGATCAATTGTTAATAGCTGGTCTCGAGACTAGCTAGAGTTGGTTGGTCCCTCAATAAAAAATGAACATTTATCTTGATAAAAATGAACATTTTTTAACTAACTTATTTTACAATAATTTGTATTTCTTAGTAATTAAATGTTCATTTTCATACATTATGATGTTCATTCGTATAAAATAAATGTTCATTTTCTAATTAACAAATTCTACCAATACGAGTACTGAATCACGGTTTCATAGCGTGAGCTCCACCACCATTAACGACCTTAGCTTCACCTTCACCATTAACATTCTCAAAATTATTCCTTTCACTATCATTATTTTCAGCGCCATCAAGGTTTTTGTCATCATCACCAGCTTCTCCACTAGAGATTTTCTTTGTATTCCTCCGTTTCTTCCGCCATTGAAGAAGAAGTATAAGCTTTAATACTCGGACCACCAACTGCACTATCTATCTGCGAACAAGTTCGCAATAATCCGCTGTCATCGTGTCATCACCGTCGCACCTATAACCTCCGAGCGATTCTGAGATCGCCATAAGAGAGAAACTCGATTTCTAGAAATTTCTTCAAATAATTAAATGTTCATTTCTATTCTAGTAAATGATCATTTTGTTCATAGTAAATGATCGTTTTTATAGTGCGGAACCATAAGAAAATTTGCGGAAAATTATTACCGATAGCCTTTATCCTCTTAACTTATTTGCAAAATATTTTACTCTGTATTAAAACTACTCCGTATTAGTAATACGGAGTAACGTTTTGGGGCTATGGTAACATTAATTCAATCCAAAGCCCACCCTGAAACTAGTACGGTTAATAACAAAATATAATGATGCCATGTCATCACAAAGGAGCATTCTGATTGGTTGAGTGATGCAACATCCACTTTCTCTCTCTTCCTGTAAGCTGTAAGCCTGTAACCGCGTCCTTTCCTCCCTCTTTCTCCTCCTTCTCAGCGAAGGAAATCCCCTTTGATTATTGAAAGGGGTATTTTAGTAATTACGTCATCTTTATATCGGGTATAAATCATGTCCTTCCAATTTCTGTCAACTGAAATAGTAGTAAAATTCTTCTTCTTTCTCTCTCCCTCTAAAAATTGGATTGAAGAAGAAAACGATGCAAAATTCTCGCAATCAATAAAATTTCTTCTACTTTTATAAAATTTTGTAAATATAGGTTTTATTTTTCAATATTTTGTTCTTTTATTGGTTAATAATAGAGTTTTAGTTGAATCAAATTAGGGTTTAATTGAGGATAAAGATGGATGAATTGAATGAAATCGACTGGGATAATTTGTTTCCAGAAGGCGAATTTGAATTCTTCTCAGATGTTCCTCCATCATTGGAAGATGATGCAACAACTGGAATCGCAAAAGAGAATACAATCGAGTCGTGGGTTGAGGAGTTGCTGATGAAGGATGATGAAGAACACGATATTAATCAAGCACAATTAGAATTAAGCAATGATATCTTATGGTATGATATTCTGCTTGATACACCTCAGCCGTCCGATGAACCGGCTTCACTTCCGAATTCGAATTCATCTAGTTGTTCGAATTCCGAGGATAATGTTGCTAAGATAAATAGTAATTGTAGTGGTGGTGATGTCCCCAATTTTGAATCAAATGGTGAGAAATCTGAGAATGATAAATCTGGGGATGATGTTTTGGACCTCGATGATGACACTGATCATGATGATCCCCTCTCCAAGAAACGTAAAAGGTAATCTATACATTTACTTAAATTGAGTATGTTTTGAATTTTGTGTCATAAAATTGTCATGGTTTTAATAGTAACATTTACAATTAAATGTCTGCTGTTTCTTTAATTGTTGAATTTGTAGTTTGCGGTTGCTCAGTCTAAGTTATGTAAAAGTGTCGAATTTTTTCCGTTTTAAAATTTGTATATATGTAATTAAAGTGAAATTAATAGTGTACTTTGAAATAGCAATGTTACCTGGACGCATAATATTGGATTGGCATGTGTTTTTTGTGGTTCTATTGTGTAATAATGTGAGATGATTGTTGTTCAGACAATTGAGAAATAGAGATGCCGCGATGAGATCAAGAGAAAGGAAAAAGATGTATGTCAAGGATTTGGAGATAAAGAGTCGTTATATGGAAGCGGAATGCAGGAGATTGGGGAGGTTGCTTCAGTGTTGTTATGCCGAGAATCAGATGTTGCGTATTTCCTTGGGCAGTGCGTATGGTGCGTCCATGGCCATTCCGGAGTCTGCTGTGCTCTTGTTGGGTATGAATTTTCTCATCTTGCCTTGTCCTGTCTTTATATATATCTGTTCAGATCCTGTTCCTGCAGTTCGCTCCCTTCTCTTGTAAGACCGTGATCATAGACTGGCTAGCGTCTTGTAATTTTTGTAAGAGTATATGTATTGCTTTAATGTTTACCCCTGATTTTTGTGATGTACCAACCGAAATAATTGAAATTCAGTTGCTCATCTTGACATTCTTCTTCCCCATTGAGTTAACCTACAACGCTCAACTTGACATTCTTCTTCCCCATTGAGTTAACCTACAATGCTCAACTTGACATTCTTCTTCCCCATTGAGTTAACCTACAATGCTCAACTTGACATTCTTCTTCTTGATTTCCCTTTTTTGGTTGCATACTTGCATAGAAAGACGTTGAAAAAATCCATACATTTGTACTCCATAACAGATATGTGAAGTTAGGTTCACCCTTGCATCTGATCCTTTTTCTCTATGTTTCTGCAGCACTGACTGTTTATACTCTCCACTTCTTTTGTCCTTGCTTGAGCATGTGTCATATCATTTTAGAAATTGTTTTGTCATTCCTGGTTTTCTAGCTCCCTCACCTTTGTATGCTGGTTTGACAGAATCCCTGCTGTTGGTTTCCCTGGTTTGGTTAATGGTCAACATATGCCTGCTGCCCCAACTGCGCCTGCAAAAATCAGGACGCAGTTCCACACGAAAGCGTGGAGAGAAAAGAACGGGAAAGCGCAACACTAAAAAGAAAAGAGAATGAAGGTCACTGAACTGTGTGTGACCCTTCTTTCATGAGGAGTAAGAGATGCAGAGCTTCAAGGACCAAGATGAAGTCTGATTTTGAACATACTACTGTGTTATGCAACTGAAATCCTTTCTCCGATGCTTCCAGTTTTTATGGTATTGCTGGAGAAAGCTGGTTCTCAGCCTTAACTTTTACATAGGATGTAGGGAGAGGTACTCTACTGGAAAGTGTGTTTAGGAAGTGATCTCCTTCCCCCCTCCCTCCCCAACCTCTTTCAGGTTCCCCGATGTTTCATATCAGTAACACCTTAATACTAGTGTAACAAACTATCTTTTTTGTTTTGATTTCTTTCTCTTTCTCCCCTTCCTGTATGACCTTCTCTGCGCTCTCTTGTGAAATTTCAGGACGGTTTATCCTTGTATTAAGTATAAGATTTTCAAAATTCATATTATTGTCATTAACACTTTTGTTTGGCTATGTGTTAGTTCAAGTATAGATTGAAAGCAACTGTGTGGTAAGTCTGGTAGAGTCTACCAATGATTTTAGAGCAAATACTTGATTAAACTTTTATGGAGCTGAAGAAATACTTGGTCGTTACGATGAGATCGACACTTGGTACTGCGTGGAAGATAGGATTTTAAATCAATGCAATGAGTGTTGATTGAAAAATTATCAGGCAGACAATTGTTTCAGTTATAATCTTAATTGTGGAAATTGGAAAACAAGGGAATGAAGCAGCATTAGCAGTTCCAGTTTTTAAAAGATTAGGTGATCCTTAGTTGAGAAAGTTAGGTGAAGTTGGAACTTGGAAGTTGATTGGTTGGTTGGTGTGAAATAGGTATCTTTTGACTAGGAGGCAGGAGCTGGGTCTTTATTCAGAAAATTCTTGTCATCTCTGGATATTCTATATCCAACAAAAGGATTCTCTTTATTTTTGAGTAATTTTTGCTTTTTCAATTTTTTTTTTTTTTTTTTCCCAAATACTTTATTGCCCTTTGTTTTTTTATTTTTATGGTAAGAAAAACTTTTATCAAATTAGCACATCTTTGATTCTCTCCTCTTTCTTCTATTGCCGATTGTTGAATAAATCTTAACCTCCATTGTCGATTGTTGAATAAATCCTTAGCCTTCATTTTCGATTGTTGAAGGAATTTTGATCGATTTTAACCTTTTAATTGGTGGAAGGCCCCCCATAATCTTGGTTTCTTAAGGAAACATGTTTGTTTGATTAAATTTCTTAGGCATTTGTTAAAATCGAATCCTTGTGTATATGTCATATAACTTTGTATTAATAGTATAGCTTTTTATTAATGAATTAATATTACGGAGTACTATCCAAAAAACAAATATAAATAACACATCTTTTTATTAAATTTTGTCAACTATTTCTTTAGAATAATTAATTAATGAATTAGATATCATTAAATTCTTAATAAATTTAAATAAAAAAAATCTAAAATCATCAACAATGTAAATAAAATGAAGAAAAAACACACAATGACAAACAAATAATGTGTTATTATGTGCCAAGATTGCCAACAATATAACTTTCAAGCTTATCAATAACTAATACTTGGTATATCTAATCTAATCTAATATATATAATAAAGTAGGCATTTTTGAAGAGCATTTGCGGTGCCACTAAGTTCTTATTTCGACCAATTAAAAATTAGATTTGTATTTTATTTTAGAATTAAAAAATTTAATCGTCACCTAAATAAATTGATTAATATATAAAAAAAAATACCAAATTAAGTCTCACTTAAATCCGAAGTAGGGGTGTACAAAAGAAAAGTTGTAATTGTTAATAGGTATAAACGACACGTTTTTTTTATAGGTTTACTATGCCATTAAAAATAAACAAATATGGTTAATTGAATTGGTTAAATTACCTGTTAGTGGTTATAATCACATTTATAAATTTATATAAATTGTTTTTGAGAGCTCATAATAATATTACATTTTTTTATTATGATATACAAGTTTTATTGTTTACTCTAAAAATTTTGAGCAACTTTGAAGTGTAAGATGTTTTAGTGGCTAGTCATTGAATAATTGGAATTTGGATTTTATTTATTTTTGTTTTGGAGCATTGATTTTGTCAAATAATGTTACAGCAATATTGTATATCTATCAATTTGTCATATTCAAAATCTATACTACTATATATCAAAAGTGTTTCGTCACAAGTCTACATATCACATGACACTGTTTCTCGACTTTCTTTTTTTTTTTCATTTTTTTTAATCGGCTAATGGCTATTAATCTGTGTCATTACGCATTAAACCATTGAATTACACCTCGATATGAGTCTTTAGTAGCAAAATAAACTACTTTTTTGAATCATGAATGTTATGCACAATTATTATGATACAAGATTAAAATCATGTATACTAATCACAATCATTGTAATACATATAGTAACTCGACCACTTAGGGCATCACTCGAGCCTAGAAAACTAGTTAGGGCTTGTTCCCATTGACTGAAATCAGCTGAACTGAACTGAAGTTACTGAACTGAGCTGAGCTGAACTGAACTTAGTAATTAGTGATTTTTAACTACGGATTAGTGATTTTTACGGATTATTATTATTATTATTTTTATTATTATTATTATTGTCGTTGTAATAAGAGCTTAAAAGAATGAAATTTGGCTTTATATCATTAGCAATATCATTAGACATAAACTGAACTGAATTGAATTTCAACGTATGAGAATAAACCCTTACTCCTTATTTTATTAAACAAGTAGCAGTTAACTTGTAACTGTAACGTTAAGAAACTATTAACCTTTATAAAGTTAATTATTATGAAGTAATCGATATTTTTTTTTCCTAACAATATTAATTAGGAAAAATTAAAAATAACTTCTTTTATTAAAGTCCTTTATTTTTTGAAAAACCAAATCGAGTATCTTATTAAAGAGCTCTTTCCCAAATTAAGGTCAAGAAGAACCGCAATTCCCAAATTGCAGCCAAAGTTTTAAGTTTTCCCATTCTACCGTCCACGTAAGCACTGGTTAAAAAACCGGTTTTTTTTTCCGGTCCAGGGTAAACCGCTACTTCAAGTAGCGGTTTCTTTGCAATAAACCGCCACTTCAAGTAGCGGTTTCTTAGTTTAAAACCGCTACTTGAAGTAGCGGTTTGTTTACAAAAAACCGCTATTTAATGTAGCGGTTTATTTTGGAAAACCGCTACTTCAAGTAGCGGTTTTAAACTAAGAAACCGCTACTTGAAGTAGCGGTATACCCTGGACTGGTTTTTTTTTCAAACTTGCATAATCACTCAAAAAAAAACTTGCAAGTTGTGTACCTGTAAAACATGAGATATATAGCATATTTTCAACACAACCACCATAAATAACAAGTTTATGAAGATCTAAGGAAGTCGAAATTGCAAAGTCGAATATTTTTCAATTGATTAAATATAACAAAATCCAATTCTAAGCATTTACAAAAAAATTAGTTTAGTTCCAAAATATACACTTAGCTCGGGCGTTGCTTCTTCCCATGAGGTGACGATGAAGATGATGCAGCTGTCTCCTCTGGAATGTCATCCAGGCCAACTCCAACCCCAGACGTAGTGTTGCTACGCCGTCGGTTTCTCTGATACTGGCGATGCACTAGTGGAGGAGATGTCATGATAGTATGCTGAGAAGGAGTCGGTGGACGGAAGGCACGTGCTGAATGGCCTCCACGATGAGGTGGTGGTCTGATCGGCATAGTGTGCACAGTAGAAGATGAAGACGTGGACGGTCGAGGCTGCTGAATAAGGTGTGACTGCCCCACCCTAGACAAGGTTTGGCCACAAAATGATGTAAAACCCTGCATCGTCTGTATGGCAAATGGTATAGCCGTCTCTGGTGGCAAGTGGGAGATGGTCTCAGTAGCTCCCGATAGCTGGAGGTGCAAATCAGCAAATGCATGTGCCTACATTTAAGTGTAGTTTTAATGTTAGTAAAATGAAATCAAAAACGTAAGAACTAGATTGAAATGAAGTGAAGTTCATACAAGCAGGAGGTCCGAGGTAGCTGGCTGGTAATGACTCGGGGGGCGCTCCTGCGAAGGTGGAGTAATGACCAGTCTCGTGATGCGACGGTACCAAGCCATGTACTCTGTCATGGCCGGGGAAGAAGTCCCAGTGAACGGGTATCCCTGGACGACTAATGCCTCTCGTCGACTCCACTCGTGTACATGGTCCGAATGCCGAATCTCCCAATTACGCTGTCCCCTTCGATCCTTCCTGTGTAGAGCAACGTCCGTGTCTACATCTTGTGGGATCGGCTGGTCTAACCAAACTGACGAAGGACTCGGTCTGGGAGGTGGAACTCAACGACGTCAAAGCATATCAGAGGTGCCCGTGAACGCCAAATGTGCATGTCTGAGCGACAAATCTCCGGAAGTCGATCCATCACCGCCTCAGTATATGGCTGCCAAATCATCTAATTCCCAAAACAAGTATGTCAACATGTATATGACTAACATAATGGAAGAAATACAATGCACAAAAAAAAGAAACACCGATTGTACCTGGTCCTCGCGCTGATGGTCAAACGCATCTCTGTAGTATGGTAGTCCAGAAGCAGTATGCGCACACGATAGATGGACACGTAACCACCTGTAAAGACATGTTAATAATAATTCTTGAAAGATAGAATTGTAAGAACATGAACTTGAAGCAAACATTGTACCTGCACGCCAAAGGGTCAACACCTCGCTGATGCTGAGTCCCCAAAATGTCATCCTCATCCTCAGCCTCAGGGTCCTCCTGTGGCGGATCTCGAGGCCTCCTAATATGGTCGGCAAATAGTAATATGCTCCCACGACCACAACTGTAGTAGGATGAGCGGGCCTCCAATCTATCTTGAATCTCGCTGACATCCTCGACATAGCTGCCGATACAAAAAACCAAGAGTCGCACTCCCCCAGCTGTAGGTCGAAGCTGTCCCCCAGTCTCGAAGGAACGACAAGTAGTAGAGTGACACAGCATCGCCACTCTTGTCGGCGAACAGAATAGATCCCATGAGAGTGAGAATGTAAGCACGGCTATGGCGCTGAACTGTCAAGTCATCAGCTCCCTCTGGCATCTGTGAGAAGTGACGTCTGAGCCACGTCAACTTTAAAGTAGATCCCTCCAGAAACGGCTTACCGTTATCATCATGGCCAGGTCGAACTCCCAGCAACTCCTCAACTAGGTCATGCCATCCCTCAAATGGAGGTCCAATGGCAGGAGGGCCGTGCACTCAACAACATTGTTCTTTCCTCTTGCACTCAACACATATTTCTCTGGCTCTGCCTCCACAACTCGAATTGTTTGATTTCTAGCTATGGAGTAAGATTTCACAGCATCTTTCAGTTGTTGCAATGAGTCAAACTGCTGACCAACCTCAAATTCTCCCCCATTGTTATATGTCTCATTTCCTAACCAAGACATCCATGAGTTATTCAAACGAGGATCAACTTGCGCCACTTCATTGAAGTCTGAAGTGGGGGCGCTTCCTTTAATTGCCTTATCACGAGCTTCAATTATCTCTTCATCATCATCTTCATCAGTGTCATTCATCTCTGCATCGCCAAATACATCAACATTGTTTGGGTCAAGAGAATCAAGAATGTCTTGTGGTTGTGTGCTTGTCGAGGTTCCAACATTAGGCGATGAGGCCGGAGACCTAAACTGTGAGAGATGGTCATTGACATAATGTGGATCAACAAGCATTCTTGTGAATGACCCTATGCCCAATTTCTTCAGGTAGCGGTTTTGCTGTAGACCGGATTTAAAATTTCTTCCCCCTGAACCGGTGACGTGGACGGTAGAATGGGAATTCTTAAAACTTTGGCTGCAATTTGGGAATTGCGGTTCTTCTTGACCTTAATTTGGGAAAGAGCTCCAAAGAAACCAGTGAAGTCATTCAACCAACGATTCTGAACATTCAAGCTCTCTGGCGTAAGGTGAGTTCTATGATTCTTTATTTAGGGTGTAAATTAAATTTGGGTATAGTTGATTCCATGAGAGTGCTATCTGCACTTTTCCCCTTTGAAATGAGTTTGCTTGTTTAATGGTCAGCTTGTTCGTTTAACTTACATTCCTTGTTTCTGCCCTCGTGTGTTAATAGGTAACTTCAGCTTGTGAGTTCTTGGGATTACGGCTGGTGTTGGGTTCCTATTGAAGTGGCTCTTTTGGGTTATTGTTGGTAACATTGGTTAGTCCACACTCTTTTTTTTTAATTGAAAGAAATGTTTTTATGTTGTAATGCTATATTTGTTGTGCTAAAGGAGTCTTTTGCACTTTTGATTTCTAATTAGCAGATTGATGCCTATAATAAGATGTGCGAAATTAAACATTTAGTTGTTGCTCTCAGTGGTTCTGTTTCCCCTTTATTTGTGCTTAAAATAGTAGTTTCTTTCTTTTGCCTTAAATTATTTAAGGAACAATATGTTCTACTAAAACAATACTCCGCGTGTTTCGCATTTGGCTTGAGGATGATTAAAATAGAGGCACACATTGTATGTTTAGATTAGCCCCTATATGTGGTCTTATTTAAGTTAAGAACTACCTGCCTTATTATGTGTCTATATATTCATAGAATGAGCATTCCTTGTATTTAAAAAATCAGTTTCCTAAATGGCAATGTGGCCATTTCAACTTATGCCATCTTCATGTCGCGAAAAAAATTTGTATTCCTTTTCAGGCACTATTGGTTCAGATCACAGACTGTTGACTTCCCTAGGCCTACTTATTCCATGGTTGATGCAATTAAGTGTAGCTCTAGTGTATACATAAGGACTGAGGGTGAACGTGGCATTTTCTGGTTTAATGGGAGAAAGCAGCTACCATTGATGAGTCTCGAGAAAACGCAGCTCAAAGAGCAGTGCACTTTTTTTATTAAGAAATATAATGTCTGTATTGGTGACTTCACTGGATAGAATGTGAATGTATGAGTTGTGTGGAAAGTTGTATAGGATAAAACGCAACTCTTTAGAATCTGGAGATAAAAGAAAGAGTTTTAGTAAGAAGGTTGTAGGTGATGTTGTACATGTTTCTGTTAAATATATGGATTTTCTGCCTAAAGCTATTAGACAGACTGGTGTGGTTACAACTGATTTAGAAACAATGCATTCAGAAGGTCAGGGCTATATATCTTAGCTTACTGTCACTTCTGTTCATGCCAAAAGTGGGATGGAGTGCATATATTCAGTGAACTGTGTTTGGATAGCAATAGCTCCAAACAAATGGTTGCTAAGAAAGCAATATATTATATTATGTACCAACATAATTTAGATATCGTGGATGCAAATTATTTAAAGGGGGTTCTAAGCTCTCTAGAAGGGGAAAGCTGTTTATCATTAGAAGAGCGAAAGACAGGACATAAAGATAATGCACAACTGATGCCTTTATTCATTGAAGAAGGCCCATCAACTCCACCTAAGGACAATTGCCAAGCTACTGTAATTATTCATGCTCCAAGCACTCCTGCTAATTTAGTTTCGAAAAGACCATCAGGGACTCGACGCTGGGACTAGCACTCCATCTGTAGTAGCAAAAAAAATTAGATTTGTATAAGTGTAGAAAATTTCTACAGATTCTATGCTAGCTATGTGTATAGCAACTATCTTGTGCTGTCTGGTTTTATGCATTTAGGTTCTAGAATATGTAGTAGAGAACTCTTTAGTTTATATCAACTGCTATGATGTATTAAAATCCTAGATTATGGTTCAATGTATTTGGTTGTATGAAACGTATTTTGAATGTGTGATGTATGTCTTTTTCTGAGCAATGTGCAATAGCTTTGGGAATAATGGTATTTATTATATATTCATTAATGAGTTGTTGTTATGGTGCTAATAATTAAGCCATTATACCAGGATTACATAATTGTGCAATATTGGATATTTTTTTTTTTTTACAGAATATTGGATAGTTATTCTGATATCATAGTGTTCATATGAATATAGACTATTAGTTGCAGTACAATTGTTATATCTCATACTTCAATATTTGATGCATAGGTTGAAAAGTAAACTTGATGTCAAGGTCTCTACCAAGTACAAGTAGACGTAGGCGTGTAATAGCTGCTATGTCTCAGCCTAATATTGTCAGGTGTTTGTTATATATATAGTATTCGTTCAATTATTTATTTGAATATCTTATGTACGCAATGTTAATACATTTACTTAATTTAGTCTTCGCATTGACAACACACAGAACAATAGAACTGGTAGGATTCGTCAGCAAATCCATGGTCAACAGGCAGTCAATCATACTGGTAGAATAGTATTGATCAGTCTCATAAATAAACACTATTAATTGCATATTAATACTTTTAAAAACCACTGAAGTGATAAAAATCTGCCTATAATGTAGATACAGCAACATCAAATGTTGGATTTGAGTTGCCTAGTGTACAAGATAATGTTCTGAGGTTTATATGAATTATTTCAAGGTTGTGATTATAATATAGAATCTGTTATAGCTTCATATGAAAATTCTAATCCACTATGGATTGAAGTAGCAGGTGTAGGACATGGAGGCGAACACATTGTCAACCTATAAATACTTTGGGTAATTTCCACAAACAGATTTATCAATTGATAGTTAGCAATGCACTTTGCCCATGAGAGAAATGTGTAATTTAACGGAAGTATTTGACTAGTGCAGATGAAATCAGCATGTTTATTGAATCACAGATGCCTACTGACACTGTTAGAATATCAAGGCCTGTCACACGATCAAGCAGACGAAGAAGAACAATTGAAATGCAGTCTCAAACTCAGCCTGTGAGGTACTCATAATATAAAGCAATGCTAGCTTAGTAGTGTGTAGTTATCTTTGGATAGTAATGTAGTTATACTTCTTAATTTCTAAATTTTTTTATTATACATCGTGATAATAGAACTAGGATGCCTAGCAGCCACGGACTCGACATCCTATCAAGAATATTGGTATTACTTCTTTTCCCTTTACTAAGCTTACCAACTATTAAAACCTATGTTTCATTTTAATGAAAAATACCAACATAATAAAGCAACATGTGGACTGCAGATACGCCATCAGCAAAAATTGGGCTGCGCTTGCCTACTGGTCCTCCAAAGTTACCTCTTCCGCATTATTGTGCTAAATGCAATGCAAAAAAGTTTGCATATGAGACCTTACATTTTTGTTGTGGTGATGGAGAAATTCAAATAGCTTCCAATGAATATCCCTTGGAGCTAAACAAACTTTTTACAAGTGATGACGAAGATGTTCTTCATTTTTAAAAAATATGCTCGGTTATATAATAACCTGTTTGCTTTCAGTTCACTGGGTGGTAATTTTGATGCTAATACTTACAAAGGAATTTATGTGTTCAAGGTACATGGGCAAATGTATCACTTTGTTCCAGATTTACTTCCAACTGATGGGAATCTTAAGTATTTATAGCTGTATTTCTATGATGGCCAACATGAAGCTTCCAATCGCATAGATAGTTTCCCGGAAGTAAGGGAGGATATTGTTTCTATATTGATGAATGTTACTAAGGACAATCCATATGCTAGATTTTTCATATCTTTTGCGAGAGATACCTGTTGATCAAACCACAACTATTATACTGAATAAGAATACAGTTCCTGATCAACGAATGTATAATGCTCCATTGACGAAGTTGCTGGTACATGGCCAGATACCTCAGCTTCTAGCCACAGTAGTAGTCCCCACATTGTTGTTCAGTGTAAATCATCAGAGTCTCATCGCATTCAACACTATTATGGCTATTATGATCCATTAGAGTATCCTATTTTATTTCCAAAAGGGCAATGTGGGTGGACTCAAGGGCTTAAAAAGAACATGGACAGGGAGTCAACAATCAACTATGCAGGTAGATCCTGTCATGTCATGTGTTGTTCATACTACGGATGAGTTACTTGCAGAAGAAGAATTACATATGTTCTTATATATTGATCTATGATATATTTCAAACATATATATTGATACTATATAGTTGTATAATAGCCTGCTTTTATTCAATATGTAGGTGCTTTGAGAAGAAACACAAAAGCAGACTAGCATGTATCAGTAAGAGAATATTATGCTTATAAATTACAGATAAGG